TGGGACAATTTAGCACGGCCAATCCACCCTAACCTGCACATCCCTGGGCACTATGGGGCAATTTAGCACGGCCAATCCACCCTAACCTGCACATCCCTGGGCACTATGGGACAATTTAGCACGGCCAATCCATCCTAACCTGCACATCCCTGGACACTATGGGGCAATTTAGCACGGCCAATCCATCCTAACCTGCACATCCCTGGGCACTATGGGACAATTTAACACGGCCTTTTTCTCTGGTATAGATTCTTTGTTTATTTGTAACAGGTCACTTCAGCAGTGCTACAAAGTTCTCCCCAAACATGGACACACAAGTAAACCAGAAATAGTTTGCATATACTTTGAATCCGAAGGGATGTCCCAGCCAATGCAGCTCAGCTACAGGCACTTGTCCTGCTGTTGGTAACCCAGGAGCCAGTTTGCAAGTGGTGAGACCTGCTGTATCAGAGCCAACACACACAAAAAGACCCTGTCATAGCCTTGGGATCCTTGAGAGTGCATTGGAGAGGCAAGACAGGCCCTTAGCTTTAAACATCTCGTCAGACAAGAGACACCAGCGCTCCGAGAGCCGTGCTGGAGCCCATTCAATCCAGTCAGGGCTTGAGGCTCTGGATTGGGGCTTACACCCTTGCCTTTCCAACCAAGAGCTGGGCAGGGCTGACCTGCCTCCTACTGCTGTCCTCTCGGGTCTAACTAAGGCCTAGCCTCCATAACATGGAGGGGAATGAGCGACCATTGACTCTGCTGATGGCCTCTATGGTATTGTCAAGCACTCATTTACGTACCAGTACTGTTGCTAACCATTTATTGTCGCTAACCAAGGTCCGAAAGGCCTACTCCTCTGTTTTCTGTGCTTCAACGTTTCATATCAATTTGGCCATTCTAATGATAAAACCTGCCTTCAGTGCAGTACTGGTGCTGAGAATGATGGCCTTGTTTTAAGGAGGAGCTGGATGGGGCTTAAGCCCATTATTTCCTGCCCTTAGAGTGGAGACAGAAGGGCGCAGAGCTCTGTTTAGTCTTAATCTTGAGTTGAGATGTGGGCCGCATGCCTCAGGAAGGATGGACTGACCTTAAATGGGGTGTAGCCTCAGCATTGCCAGAATGATCCTGCATGGGTTAAATGACGGGGACAAAGGGCCGAAAGCTTATCAGGGGCTATGCAGGAAGGTAGAGCTGAGGTTAAAATCAGATCAGCCTCAATCTTATTGAATGGTGGAGCAGGCTTGAAGGCAGATGGCCTTCCTATATCTGTAGAATACACAGACTGGACTTGTGTTCCCCTGAGTGGAGGGGATTAAAGGGTGACTGACCTGAGAGGTTTGGGATGATTAAAGTTTGGGTCTGCTTTTGGGGTGAGGGAATTCTAATCAGTCTAGGGCAAGGGGGCAAAGCCTTAAACTGAGAACCAGGCAGAGGGTATGGGGAGCGATGTCAGGAAGTAATTCCTCCCCCAAAGGGGACTGGAAATCTGGAATTCTTGTCCATCTCCCCACCCACAAGAAACTTAGGGAAGGTGGAGAACATTGCAATGGGGAGAACTGACGTGTCCTATCAGTCTGGGTCCCACAAGTAGTTGGAGGACATTTCTCCATGCACAGGCTGGTGGAAATGTCAACTTTATCCCAGCTCCATACCGAACACTGGCAACTAGGGGCAGTACAGTGACTCAGTGGTCAGCACTGCTGCCTCACGGCGCCAGGGACCTGGGTTTGATTCCACCCTTGAGTGACTCTCTGTGTGGAGTTTGCACATTCTCCCCATGTCTGTGTGGGTTTCCTCCCACAGCCCAAAGTTGTGCAGGCTATTTGGATTGGCCACGCTAAATTGCCCCATAGTGCCCAGGGATGTGCAGGTTAGGGTGGATTGGCCGTGCTAAATTGCCCCATAGTGCCCAGGGATGTGCAGGTTCGGGTAGATTGGCCGTGCTATATTGTCCCATAGTGCCCAGGGATGTGCAGGCTGGGTGGTATAGCCATGAGGAATGCAGGGTTACAGGGAGAGGGTGGGGGGAGGTGGGTGGCTTAGGACTTGATAGGTGAAATGGCCTGCTTCTACCCTGTAGGGATTCCATTTTTATGAATGTGAGGTTGTGTGATGCTGTCTAGCGAAGGGTATAAAGGGGGAATGCGTGCAGATGCGTGTTGAATGACAGACAGCAGCTCAATGTTCTCCTGTACGAACCCGATCACTAACCTCCGTGCTTTCCTCTCTCTCTGTCTCCTCCCCCTGTCCTAGGGGGTCATCGACACGGCGCAGACCATCTGCGACGTGGCCGCCCGGGGTCACGAGCAGAAAGGCATCACGGGGGCTGTGGGGGGGGTCCTGAGGCAAATCCCGCCCACTGTGGTCAAGCCGCTGATTGTGGCCACGGAGGCCACCTCCAACCTCCTCGGGGGGATGCGGAACCAGATCAAGCCAGACGCCCGCAAGGAGGACAGCCTGAAGTGGCGCACAGATGAAGGTCAGGACTAGGCCTTCGCTCGCGAACCCTCACCCCCAGCCCACCCCCACCCCCCCCCCCACCCCAAACCTCTTTTTGTTGCCGCTTTCACAAAACGAATCGGGCAATTCGAACAGAAGGGTGGGGGGTGGGGGGTGGGGTTGGGTCGCGCAGGGGAGGAAGACAAAACAAGAAGAATTCAGGAACGTGTCATCTACTCCGGTCAGCATCGACCCACAGGACTGCATTAAAGACGAGCACCAGAATGAATGGTGAACGGGAGCCGACGGGAGAGAGAGAGGGAGAAAGACCTGGCTGTTGTTGAAGAGGCAGGGGGAGGAGGAAGCTGTAACCCTCCTTGTCACAGTGTGCCTGACCTCAGAAAGGCTGATTCCTGTCTCTCGGAGGTTGGTTGGGGTGGGTTGTGCCTGTGTGTGTGCATGGTGTGTGTGTGTGTGTATGTGTATACACATGAAAGTAGCAGCAAGCAGCGTTAATCCGCTGGGGAATATCCTCCCCAATCCTTGTTACCCTGCCCCCAACCTAACGCTTCTTAAAAATCAACTTTGAAGTGTCAAAGCCATGTAAATTTAATGAAACCTGCTTCTAATTTCCGAGGGTTCGGACAAATTTGGGCCTTTGCTTCCACGGGCCTTTAGATGCTTTTGCAGCAGTGGGCTGCTGAACTCCAACCCTGTTCTACCTTTATTCCCCAACCCCTCCACCACCTTTGGTGCAGCAGCCCCAGAAAGTGGGATCAATCATTTGATTTGGAACGCACTATCAGACTGATGTGGCCCGGATTCTTTCTCCCTTCCCACTCTTGTCTCACCGCACTGCCTGCAGACAGATACACTCCCATGCTTACGCGCACACACACACACACACACACACATACACGTATCTCCCCGTCTCTCTCTGTACTAGCTGTAGGCGCTATTGGGCAAGAGCTGTCAGTCTCTGGCACGGAACGGATAGCCGGCAAGGGAGGATGCCGGGTTGGGTAGTGTGCGTGGGAGGGCAGGGCAGGTTGAGCAGAATCCAGAGATGTAGGCACTCCCCATCCAGTGATAGGAGGCTCCTTTTCACCACAAGGTGTGTTTGCCGTGTGCCAGTTGCTACCCTCTTCCGGAAAGTGCTGAGCTCTGTCAGACCAGTAGTGGAGACGGAATGCAGGCAATTTTCTGTGGAATGACCTTGCTCTCCTTCTTTCTTTAAGATGTAAACAAATCTCCTCGACTGAGGCTTTATGTCACCTCCTTGCGTGGCTTGATGTCCCACTTTTGTTCAGTAATCCCTCTTGTGGGCCGCCTCAGGGATGTTTTCCGTGTCAAAGGCACTTTATAAATGCACATTGATGTTATGAAGACTGAATCTCAAAGAGAATGGATATAACAGGGTGGGGGGGGGGGAAGGGGGGGAGGGCAGTTGGGCTAAGGAAGGCTTTAGGAGCTAATATAAGCTTTAAAAATTCTATATATTTTTGAACGGTCTGTAATTACCCCATGAATTTGGATTGTTTTAATGAATATTTTTTTATCCAAATGGAGCAATATTTCGTAGCTGGGAAAGGCAGAGTGAGTTAGACTTGCTCGTCCTGCTTTCCCTGGTGACATTATTTGCAATGCGTGTGTGGAAGGTGCTTTGAGATATTAAATTAGAGAAATATATCGTATATGTATATGAGAAAAATTTTAAGGTTAAATTTTGGTGACAGTACTCGCCCATTAATAAACACCAAACTCAACAGCTTATCATGGAGCCTAACAGTTTAGGACGTTTAAGGTCTGAGTGATCTTAACAGCCAGTCTCCTTTGTGCACGTGCCCCACTGTCACATCCTTTCCCCCATTTATAATGGGGATTTCCAATGTAAACATGTCACGGTGCAGTTGCGTCCTCCTTCGCAGAGATGGCGCTGCTGTCATCATAGCACATGTGGGGAAAGAAGTAGAAGTGTGTGTGATGTGGATGGGTGGTGGGGGAGTGGGTTCCTGCCAGTAGCCTGCCGTTCCTGGCCCTCTGGACTCCTGTGATCGCAAGGCAGGGTGTGCCATCGAGATATCGGAGTGTTGGAGATCCGCAGCCCAGTGAGGTGTTAGTGCCTTCAGGAAAGGGGGTGGGCGGTGGGTAGAGTGTGAAGGTCGAATATTGTTCTTTGGAGACGTGTATCATCTCTGGCTGCACAGTTGATGCTGGTGCGAGTGTGTGAGAGATGTCTGTGCTGTTCCCTTGCACACCATTGACACGCTCTGTGTGCGTGTGCGTCTGTGTGCGTGTGCGTGTTTAAATGTGTGCTTGCTGACTGAACTGCCCCCACCCCAATCCAACTGTGTAATTAATGAGTGTTAATCTGTGTTCATACACTTGTGTAAAAAACAAATTATATTAAAAAAATGCAACTTATGTAATAATAAAAACATGTCCAAGTGCGATTCTTTTTTTAAAAAAAAAGTTGATTTGCTTTTGATGGCTATGGAGATTTCTTTGGGGTGGTGGTTTACTGCGATCAAATCTTCCATAGTCTCCTGGTTGTTTTCCTAGAACCCTACAGCACAGGGAGGTCATTATCCTATTAAGATCAATCTACCCTGCATTCCCTACATTTTACTATCCTCCATGTGCCTATCCAAGAGTCACTTAAAAGTCTCTAAAGTATCTGACTCCACTACCGCTGCTGGCAGCGCATTCCACACGCCCACCGCTCTCTGTGTGAAGAACCTACCTCTGACATCTCCCCTATACCTTCCTCCAATCACCTTAAAATTATGCCCCCTTGTGATAGTCATTTCCACTCTGGGGAAAAAGTTTCTGACTATCCACTCTATCTATGCCTCTCATCATCTCGTACACCTGTATCAAGTCACCTCTCATCCTTCTTCACTTCAATGAGAAAATCCCTAGCTCCCTCAACCTTTCCTCATACAACCTGCCCACCAGTCCAGGCAGCATCCTGGTAAATTTCCTCTGCACCCTCTCTAAAGCTTCCACATCTTTCCTGTAATGAAGCGACCAGAACCGAACACAATATTCCAAGTGTGGAATAGGTTAAGGATAGATGTTGACCCTGGGGAGAGCTCCCCAGCCGTTTTTCTTCCTGCAGTGACTGTGGGTCTTTTCTATCCAGCTGAACGGTCCGACAAAACCTCCGTTTAATGTCTCATTAGAAAGCAGTTAACCCTAACCCTGTCACAGGTACAGCCTTACTTTAAGTACCAATACTGGGATAGTTCAGTGCTCCCTCGGTACTGACCCTCCGACAGTGCCCACTCCCTCAGCACTGACCCTCCGACAGTGCCCACTCCCTCAGCACTGACCCTCCGACAGTGCGGCGCTCCCTCAGCACTGACCCTCCGACAGTGCGGCGCTCCCTCAGCACTGACCCTCCGACAGTGCCCACTCCCTCAGCACTGACCCTCCGACAGTGCGGCGCTCCCTCAGCACTGACCCTCCGACAGTGCGGCGCTCCCTCAG